AAACATGTTTAATATATGGAATAAATATGAATGTATATACTGAATCTAAAAATGGCATATAGCCTAACCCTCAAGAAAAAAATAATACCATATTTTTTAATGTAAAAAGTTACATTTTTTTACATATATATTAAATATACATTTATTTCATTTATAGAATTAATAGAATACTGTATATTGAATATAAAAATGTTATTTGGTGTAACCCTTAAGTAAAAAAAGATACCACATTTTCCTTACATTTTGAATAATTATTTGAATAATTATTATTGAATAATTGAGTAATGTTTACATGCAATTTTTTTTAAATGTAAAACATCTATATATTTTTAATATAGAGATTTTACATACTCCTTGAATTATTATTTTCAAGATTTTTTTTAAGAATTGTCATCAGCCTTGTCAAATTAGATGATATTTTTATGAGAATTATTGACCTTGCATGTTGGTTTCACCATATTTTATATCAAAATGATTCTTAATACAAAAATGAGAAATCTGCTCATTGTAGAAATTATGTGTTCAAGTCCTTTATGTATTATTTTCATTTTTAACTTTTGAATAAATTAATAGACAAAAACATGGTTATGATGTAACTAAAGCCTAGCTATTAAAAATAAATAAAGAAAAGAAAAAAAGAAAAGAAAGAAAGAACTGTCTTGTCTAAGCTTCCTGTTTCAATAGAAAATATTGCAAGTGAAAATACTTATCAAGTGATTTCATGAGGTTTTAAAGCTATTTCTTGTTGAAGCACAGTCGTGTGCGACCGGTCTTGATTTATGGATAGTACATTAGGGGTTTTTAAATGAGAGGGCGATTCCTTGTCTGCCTCTCTCATCAGCCCTCCTCAAATGTGTGTACGTCAGATCTCTTCTGTCCTGAGCCAAAAGCCCATTTCACAGAATGACTCTTCACTTCTGTCATTAACCTGTGAATGATACATACGCTCTAACCCCTTTTAGCCACTACATCCTGCCTCAAGTACCTCATATAGTTCAACAGAGACATTTATCCACAGCTTCTGCTCTTATCTTCCACATTAAATCTCTCTCACTCTCTCCCTCTCATTTTCTGTTCTCATCTTCTTTTCGCATTGCGTTTCTCATTCTCACAAGTCTGATAAATAAATACACAGTTTCTATTTGTTTCTCTATTTGTACAACTCTAATTGTGAATCTATGAATCTATCTATCTATCTATCTATCTATCTATCTAATGTCTGTCTGTCTGTCTATCCCTTTTTGTTTTTTTTTATTTTAATTTTCATTCAAAAAAATGTAAAAGCAAATGTAGGATCACTTTGGGGTCAATTTTGTCACCAAAACTATTGCCAACATAAACATTAACACACACACGGTGAGTATGGATGGGAAATATATGAAATATTAATTGACAGTTTGTGTAACAAAAAATCAAATAAATAAATAATTAATCAATCAGTTAATTATTCCCTTTTTTATTTTTTTATTTAAATTTTCATAAAAAAAAAAGTTTAAAAAAATCACATTGGGGTTATTTTAGTCACCAAAACTATTGGTAAGTACATAAACATGAACACACAAACAGAGAGAGTAGAGATGGGAAATGTATGAAATAATAATTGACAATTGTTGTAACAAAAAAATAAATAATAATACAAATAAAATAAATCCATCAATCAACCAATTAATCAATCAATCATAACTGTTAATATTGTCATGTTTAAGGAACTTTTTAATTGGCCATTAAGGTCCCTAAAGACTGTATCATTAAACAGGAAAAGAAAATTAATCAAGAAAAAAGAAATCATCAGTGGTGATCAGAAAATCATCAGAAATCATCAGGCATCAGTGGTGTTTTTGGAGTTTTCTGGGAGATGGCAGTCTTGCGTTCAGCTGTCCATAGCTGCTAAAAGCCAAGGAGCATAAATGGACACAAAGAGAGGCTATCTGGACCGATGGTTTGATAATTGTGTTTATAGAGTTGGCAAGCTGAACTTGACCAAGTGTCCAAGCGCAAACAGAGGTAAAGTCCATCCAGGCAGAGACAGCAGCTGTCCCTCATCCGCAGCCTGTTTAAATGAAGCGATGGAGCCATCAGTGGCTCGCAGACGCCGTTCTGAGCAATCACAAGCTGCCATTGTGTTACAGCAAGAGAAAGAGGGTAGTGCCAACACTGGATGATGGTGGGTTTTATATTGAAAAAATCTGAATTTCTTAGTGAAGCACTAAACGCAGTGGTCTTGGTATTCAAACTCAAGAACACTTTACTTACAAAAGTAATTTTGTCATTAGGAAGGGGTTGTTGAGAAGGGGTCAAGTTATTGGCTGGTCAGCATGGTACACGTACATGACAAAAAAACAAACAAAAAAACACCATAAAAGGAGTTCATAAGTTGAACACTATATTCCAGAGTTTTATTTTTGTGTGAATTATAGCTTTAAAGGGTTAGTTCACCCAAAAATGAAAATTCTGTCATTACTTACTCACCCTCATGTTGTTCCAAACCCGTAAGACCTTCATTCATCTTCGGAACACAATTTAAGATATTTTTGATGAAATCTGAGGGCTCTCTGACCCACTTTGGACGCGTTCACGATAGTATCATGACGCGAGCGTGTGGTGGCGCCGACACTGACCCAGATCTGGCGTGATGATGTCATTACGCCGGATCTGGGTCAGCGCCGCCACACGCTCGCGTCATGATACTATCCTGAATGCGTGTCCACAAGTAACGCAGTAGAGACGAAAATGTGGAATAAAGTCGTTATTTTTGTTTTCTTTGTGCAAAAAAAGTATTCTCGTAGCTTCGTAACTTTACAGTTGAACCACTGATGTCACACGGACTACTTTGTCGATCATCTTGGTACTTTTCTGGACCTTGAACGTGGTAGTTACCTTGCTGTCTATGGGAGGGTCAGAGAGCCCTCAGATTTCATCAAAAATATCTTAAATTGTGTTCCGAAGATGAACGAATGTCTTACGGGTTTCGAACAACACGAGGGTGAGTAATTAATGACAGAATTTTGCATTTTTGGGTGAACTAACCCTTAAACATTCAGAGTCGAGGGAATGATAGATGGAAAACTTCATTATAGTCTATTTCCAAACATCCATTGGTTGAACTTTTTCACTATTCTTGAATGTATGGTGAATTTTATGTATGTGCAAGCTAGAATCAAGGTTACCTGTTCACACTCACACCTGATTAGTTCTGTGTCTTTCTTTTTTTCTTTGTTTTTAATTCCAAGTAGCTCGTATTACACTAATTGTAGGCTCAGTCTCTACGGTGTAACCTTTGAGTTAAGTACTTAGCTCAAGGACTTAGCAGGGACTGTGGGAATTAAAGTAATTTCCAGGTCACAGGTCGCCCTATTTGGGATTGAATTACCTTCAATGCAGCGGTTGACCCTTGGGTCAGGGTTTCGTTTGTTAGCCTCTGCTGGTAGAAGCCGTAACTACACCATCTGACAGCAAAACACATCTTTCTCCACTGACAGCCAATTATTGATAGCCTTATATTCTGACATTCAATCGTAAAATCGTAAATATTTAATTGTTTTACCAGTTCCCTTTTTGGAGGCTCTTGGACTTAGTGTGCAACGGACTTAGGACTGCATGATATAGCCTATATTGAAATAAAATAATTTCGCTATGTGGGTTAGTGTGATTGTCGAATCACACAGACTCCAATTTATTTAAATATGTTTTATCAGTTTCAAGCGCGGCATTTACACATGTAGTTCATAATACAGTGCTTCAGCATCTGAGAATGGCTTGGTTCGTTTACTGTGAATCGAGCCGTTCTGAGACACTGATAATATGCTGAATGCGTGGACATGAACACAGAGCCAAGCTTCATTCTAAAACCAGCAGTGCTTTTTTGCCAGCAGCCCATCAAAATAAAAGTTTGATGATTTAGCCTACCATTTGAAATTGAAGAAATGAAGACATACATATTAGTATTGTAATTTTAGAGTAAAATCGAATTATTTTTAGTGCTGTCAAACGATTAATCGCGATTAATCACATCCGAAATAAAAGTTTTTGTTTACAGAATATGTGTGTGTACTGTGTGTATTTATTATGCATATATAAATACACACACATACATGTATATATTTAAGAAAAATATGTTATGTTTATATATTAACTATATTTATATATTCATGCATGCATGTGTGTATTTATATATGCATAATAAATACACACAGTACACACACATATTCTGTAAACAAAAACTTTTTGTAAAAAAATATTTTATTTCTTGATTTTTTTATTTTATGATATTTATTTTACAGTATTACAATGTTTCATATTTTGTTTAATATTTTTTATTTAGTAATATGACAATAATTCCAGTATTATAATCAGTAATCACAATAAAATTATGATAATTATTATTATTATTATTTTATCGTCATGTTGAATTGGTCAAAAACAGTGGGAATGTGGCCTGTGAAAACTCTATCTATCTATCTATCTATCTATCTATCTATATATCTTTTTATTCATCCCCACATTGTGCAGCCCTAACCTATACTATGTTATGCATTGTCATTATATCATTATCCTGCTGCTCCAGACCGATTATTCACATGGTATTTTCAGCTGATTTCTTGGATGACAAGAAAGTGTAAAAGTATGTAGTCTGAAATATATTGAATTTTCATTTTACTTTAAACTTTAGTGCCTGAAGCCTATTAGCAGCACCTAAAAGCCTTTTAAGTGCTCTGTTTGTTGTGAATAAATTATTGCACATGGATATTTCATACCTTGTAGGTGACCAAAAGTGGAGGAAGGTCTTTCTTAACTGTTCCATATTGATTTAAATTCAAAGAATAAAGTCCATTGTTCATTCTGCATTCTTATTAAATGCTGAATCATTTATATAAGTAGCTGTGGCAACAAATCAATGCTAACAGCATTTCTGTTGACCCTCATGAATCAAGTTATTATTATAAGTCTGAACTTTAACCAGCAAATGCAAATGGATTAATAACTCTATTTTTCTTCTCCAGCTCAGTCCTTCAAAGAGTTTTCCCAGTTGCTGAACACCATGGAAGAGGAGAGAAGGCGGCTGGTAAGTACTTTTTTTTTTTTTTTTTTTTTTTTTGTTTTCCTCCGCCATCATTGCTTTCTTGGGTAGGTACTGTACCATTGAAATTCCAATGGCATTAAACCTATGACAAAGCACCAGGATTTTTGACATATACTATGGCAATTCCATGATTTTTTTTTTTTTCTAGTAAACATGCTTTATCCAGGAAATGTACTACCATGGTATTCTTGTAAGTACTTTGGATGGCAATGATACATGAATTTGGTAATCATGCAGTACCATATTATCAATAATGATAATAAATAAAATAAAATAAGGAGTATTTGTATGCAAAAGCCACTTGATATTTTGTTAGAATTCAAAGCAAACAAAATTCCACAATTGTAACTTAAGTATTCAAATAGATGATCATCTGATTATTAGGTACTCCACCATGGTCCCACAGTGATTTTTAAGGGACTATCCCTAACAAAAAAAAACACTGTTGTGGTACCCTGCTAATATTGAGAGGTTTGAAGAAAGTGTTGTCGTTGTTGTTTCCGTTATCAAATTAACACCCCATAAAGTCCTCATGATTAGCTGAGCTGATAATGAGAAAGCAAGTAAACAAACAAAGCCTGCTTTTCCCCTCTGATTGGTAAAACAGCAAGACTGAGCAAGAATGAATCTCTCAGATAAATAATGTTTAATCACCCTGTTGACGTTTATTTTGTGGTAATGACCAGTTAACTGTGCGTTATCTTGCTTTGACACGGCTACTTTACCAAATAAAAACAGACCAGTACAGGAAATCAAACAGTCAATTATACAGTTGGTCATTATACAAGAGGGATTAAACAGAATGAAGTGGCCCAAGAGCTGTGTAATTTTAATCAGCGTACTAAAGTAAAGTACACTTTGAAGATTATTGTAGCATGTTTTACAAGAAAACACTATTTCAGTCTTTCTACTTCAAAATTTCACCTTTAGTTCAGTGTGCTACTTGCCATTCATTTGAGAAATTTACTAGCAATTTCTGAGTGCAAATTGTTTCTGCAACAATTTTTCAGTGTAGATCATGCCAAGGATCATGGTAAAACCAGCCACTAACCATAATCACGTTGCACACTAGACTTGGTCGTACATTGTGTCTGGTTTCTTCGGGTGTGTGTGTGTCAGAGCAGACGTTTCAGTGACATCCAGAAGAGACGGTATGGTTAACATGTTTGACGTGTGTGGTCACTTGTCACGACTTACAGTGACATTCGGCGGATATCATGTACAGTTCCAGTAATATGATGTACAGTTCTGGGAATATGAACCCTTACGCTGTAGTTTGACACCAAAGGTTCAGTAGTTTGCATGAAGTCATTGGTGCGGGCAGCCCTAGGGCCTTATTTTCTTCTCATTGCGTCATTATTGTCCTTCCTGTGAAATTAAATGTTAACACAGCAAACACTTCCAGCAATATGCAGCCTCATTTAGACAAATGTCCTTAAAACCTAACCACAAAGACGTGAGAATAATCCAAAATGCTTAATAGCTCACTTAAATGGTGCTTTAATGATGTGTGTGATTATCACACAGTTACCAGCTGCTCATTTAAACCTTTAAACTACCTAACTAAATGGCAAGAATAATACATCAGGGATGCATGCAGTCTGTAGCAACATTTGGTTTCAGGTTGCTGTAGCTCCACCTTTCATTCTATATCTTCCTGCCTGTGGCGCGTCGCTAGCGATTCTGGACCCATTGTACAGATTTTCTATGGAGTCTCAGTCGGGCCCCCCAAAGGATATTGTTGGACACTGACGCCCCTGCTTCCTACCAAGACCAGATAGACAGCAACATTACCTTTTGAAGATACTTTGTTTTGTCTAAATTCTATAGATGTGGTCACATTAGCACATGTTTTGTGGGCAAAAAGGTCCATCAATTCATGTGACCAACTTGAACTCGATGCAAAATCTGTGTGGGTGAACCTTTGCCCTCATGTGAAATTCCCAGTTGTGTGGATTTCTTTTGACATGAGAAATGAGAAACAAATGTTGTTCCATCTCTCATTCTTCCTTTACCTACCAAGACCACATAAGGTAGATAAGTGCACTCACAACTCAAAGCATGCTCCAAAAAATAGACCGCAAAATCATGATACCTCTTAAAAAACTTCATTACATTCATGAGATTTTGGCGGAATTTTGCAGCCAAAATGGTTCATCACCTACTGTCAATAGTATAGCAATGTAGGAAGCACAGCTCACACAGAAATCACTTTCAAACCAGGCAGCTTTCTGAGTGCAGCGTTTCCACATAACCTGCTTGAACCCATTTTGTCCTCACGTGAAATTGCCAATCACATGAATTCCATTTGAAATTACTAGATTTTGCTAAAACTGAAACGCAAGTTGCAAGTGCAACTTCCGTTTTCTTCCTTATTGCGACATCAGAGTAAAACTGAGGCCCTGTCCACACGAACGCGGTTATTTTTAAAACCGCAGCTTTTTCTACGCGGTTAGGCCGGTCGTTCACACACAAACGCAACACCAGTTCACTGAAACCGAACATATTTTGAAAACGCCTGCCAGGGTGAATATTTTCAAAAACTCCGGTTGCAGTGTTATCATGTAGACCGCGAATCCTGAGTTTTTGGCTCGTGACGTCGGTGCCTGCGCTGTTATCTCCGCCTACTGGAGACTTTTTCAGGCTTCTGATTGGCCAACATGGCTTTACGGTTGAGATTATATCGCCACCTGCTGGTTTGGCATACTCTTGACAGTGCTTCATAGCATGCGTTTGCGTTTTCATGTGGACGGAGATTTTTTTTTAAATCGGAAGAAGGAAAAACTCTGTTTATAAACAATACCCGTGTACTTGAGGACAGGGCCTGAGTTTTGAACAACAAAAAGTTGATTTTGTCAACTGGGAATTGATTGGATTATTGAATTGTGATTTGCTAATTGGTACGATCTCATGTGAGTAGTTTCTGGAGGGGAAGCCATATTGCCCAGCCTGGTGCACACGTCACCAGAGAAGAGATGTCGTTGTGAGTGGGAAGGAAAGGCAATCCCAGAATGCATCAAGATGAAAAATGTCCTTAGATATTATAATTGTACTTTCTTTCAGTGCCAATGTCAACACTGATAATAGCTCAATCTAATTTAAAATGGACTATTTAGAGCTAACTAGAATATTGTGTTGTTAGCTTAGCAACATGCTAACTTCAAGCTTTGAAATCAATTGAGTTGATTCATACACTTCGCATAAGAAATCATATCTTTTTGCTTTTGAACAGTGTTCTAATCTGTCACTTAAGAGGTTATATAACAATTAGGATGTTGCCTTGGTAGACAGCATGGAAGCTCACTATGGTTTGAAACAGAGTTTATGTATGTGTGTTTGTAAGTGATCCCAACTGGGAGCATTAATGTTTGGTTCCTGTGAAATGTTTGAAGTCAGAAGATAAAGGAAGTTTGATAAAATGACTAATTGTTTTCGTGACCTATATATAGATTGTTTTTCCAGAAGTGCATCTCTGTCTTGAATGACGCTCTGAGGTTCATTCGTATACTGCGACCCCTGCTCTCGGATCTCCATATGTGCGGGGAAAAGCAAAGTCTGTTTCATTTCAGACAGTGAGTAATAGGGTGAATATCATAAAAAAGGACCTTTAAAATATACATTTCATTACTTTACTCCTAAATGTATAACTTATGGATTTATGGCTGGAATAAACTCATTTGTGCGGCCTCACACAGTCAGACACATTAGTTTTATTGAGAACAAAACACTTTTGAGGATAGCAGCCTCAGTGGATTTGATTTCATTTTCCTCTCCTTCATCTTAAACATCTAATCTCTTTTTAGCAGTCTTCATGCATAGTTTGCCTGAAAAAAGAAACTCAGAAGATTTAGTTGGGAGGAAGCCCACAGGACAAATGAGATATCTTTATTATCTTTATCCTAGACAGCAATGAGGTTAAATGGAGATCAAATGGGGAGGTTTAAAGGTACAGTCACACAAAAGCATGTGAAATAATTTGGGACCCTGCAAAAACAAATACGTGACTCAGGATATGTTATGCTTTAGGATGTTTTGATATATATACAGTGGGTACGGAAAGTATTCAGACCCCCTTAAATTTTTCACTCTTTGTTATATTGCAGCCATTTGCTAAAATCATTTAAGTTAATTTTTTTTCCTCAAATATCGCATGCGATTTATCGTGCAGCCCTAATATATATGCAGTATATATATATTAAGTTTTGAAGTTTATATTCTTAATATTGAAGATATATTTAGATCTCTTGGTTAAACATCTATTGTAATCTTATTTTGCGCCAAAACCTTTGTGAGTTGCTGCCTAGGTTGAGCATTGCAAATCTTTTTGAGGTTACATTTCAGTTAGGATGCTGATGTTGAAGGCAGCTGTACGTAGGTGGTAGACAGCCAGGCCAGAGCCATTATCTTTGTTTACGTTGTGCGGCTCGCTGCTCCTGTCCATTCTTTGTTTTCGGCGATTGACTTTGCTCACCGCTTAATCAGACATCCCGTAATCCAGGGCCAGCCGTAGTTAATGAGAAACCACATGGAATGTAGCTAGAAGTCAATGAAACTTTCCACTTTATTCACATTCTTTCTAAGAATCTGTCTGCAGCTTAGTGTTTCATCACCTTGGCCTGCAAGACGGCCTTTTTAATAGGATGCAATGGCTGCTGTGCGCTTTTTTGGAGGATATTTTTGTGATTAAAGCACAACCTAGAAGAAAAGGAGATTTCAAGAGCTCTCATTTCTCCATCTAGCAACACCTTGTGTCATACATTTTTGAACAGAGGAATATGAGTAAGGGAGGAAGGAGATTTTCCAAATATTTTCCATGGTAGAGTTGCTAGTGTGCTCTTGATCTCCTGAGCCCAATCAGTCATGGAACAGAGAGCGCTCCGCTGTCAGACTGAATCCTAGGCAGCCGTATATTCATGCAAACGTCAGTTCTCTTCAGTCGAGTGGGATTGATGCCAGGCCCTTGTGATGCAGTAATGCTGTCA